CGCCTTCGAGGTCTGGACCCCGGCTGGTGCTAAAGGAAAGTTTGGCATCTCTACACCCCAGAGATGGGGAAGGTGATCGAGGCACTGCCTGAGCATCTAACCCTTTTGCTTGATCAGCAGTGTAGGTGATCTTGTGCTCAAGTTTTGTCTGTCTCATGTGCCATGCAACCGCAGCTGGCTGAGTTGCTTGAAGTTGACAAACCCCTTCCTTCCCTGCTCGCTCGTCGCATAGAAGTGTTGTGTTGGCATGGTGTGCTACACTCAGCGCTTGCAGCCTGCCCCTGGGTAATGTGGCTCGTTGCAGGACGCAAAACCAGGAGAGCAATGGGGCCTTGCTCGCATCAAGGCGGGCATGCGATCCCCCCCACCATCATCGGGTGGTCTTGTACGACTTCACTGCCTTGAGGAGCGCCTTGGCCTCGGCGTTGCTCTCAAAGTGGTCCCGAACCGGCTGCAAGGGGTGGAGGGGGGGGTGAAGATGGGTGAAACATGCAAATGGACGGGCCATTTTGAGCAGAGGCCTGACGAAAGTGTTCAAAGAGTCCAGACCCCACGCTCATGCGCTGGACAGCAGCCCATCGCAGGCGCAGCCTCCCTCCCCCTCGGCCCCCTCTGCCCCCCCCCGGAACCCGCCTGGAGGATGTCGTTGATGCTGCTCGCCAAGGCTGGCTTGAGGTCAGAGGGGTGCAGGGCTCCTGACGCGTAATCGGCGGCGAGCTCCTCGAAGTTTGTGTAGATGCTGAGGATGAGGGGTTGGTCAACGGAGACTTGGTGAGAGGGGAAGGAAGGTGTGACTGGGCTGCGGGGCAATGCCGGAAGAGGCAGACTTGGGATGGGCTCCCCCAAGCAGGAGCACGCAGGAGCATGTGGGGCAGAGGCACATGCACCGTCAGACCCCAGGGATCCAGCTCTCCAAACAGAGACGGCATGCAGCCTTGCCCAAACCACCCCGCAACCACAAACATGTCCTCTCCTTGTCTTGATCAACCCCCCCGCCCCTTCGTGGGCTTGCCCTCCAACACACCCACACACTCCCCATTTCCCAATCTCCATCCCCACTGACACACACTCACATATTTCCCCCATTTTTCTCAGCCCTGGCGACGGCGAGCTGCTTGGCCCAGGGCAGCACGATGTGCTGGATGTAGGAGAGGCAGGGGTTGCCCTCCACCTCCCCTGGCGGGCAGTACGCCTTCTTGATTTTGGTCCGCACCTCCGCCTCGCTGTCCTCCATGAAGATGGCAGAGTTGGGGTCGCTCTTGCTCATCTTCTCCTGGCCCTGGAGCAGCCCCGGCATCATGGGGTGGGACAGGATGACAGGCTTCATACGCTTGGGCCGCGCGTCGTCAGCGTACTCCCGCGCTAGCACGTTCACCTTGCGCTGATCCATGCCCAGCTGGCAGATATCGGCCTGGGAGGAAAGGATGGCGGGGAAGGGTGGATCCCAGGGTGCGATTTCCGCGCGGCCCAGCACTTCAGCGCCAGAAGGGGCCGAGTGGGCAGTAGGAAAAGGAGAGGGGTTGGGTGGGCAGCAGCGACTTGTATGCTTCGACACTCGCAGGGGCAGAGGTCATAGCAACAGCCCTCTCTGGCTAAGTTGCGTACAATTCACCCCCTCTGCAGTGACTGCACACTCCCTCCATCCACCCTACATTGCGCCTCTGCCCCGCTCGCCTTAAGGAAGAAAATGTCGGCGCACTGCATGCAGGGGTAGAAGATCTGGGCGGCGCTCAGATCATCGCCCTCCGCCCGCCCCATGATCTGGCTGCAGCGCACGATGCGCTTCAGGTTGTTGCGCCGGGCGATGTCCATCACCAGGGTCCAGTACTCGTCGGGGCGCTTGTTGATCTCCTCTGGCGTTCTTGAGGGGAGAGTGAGGAGGATGGGCAGGGCGAAGAGGATGGGTGTGGATCATGGAAAGTGAGAATCATGCCATCCAGTACGGGGCCGGCACAGTATTGCTGTCCAGCACAACATATATTTACACGCGGGTCTTGGCAAGTGGGACCAGCTTGGCACCCATTCCTCCCTTCGGCACCTGCAGGTCTGCACTCCAGGCCTGGACTCCTAGGCCTGGTCACCCCAGACATCCAAAGAGAAGAAACAAATCAAATTCCCAATGCACTGCTGACCTGAGGCGTGCAGGAACTCGACGCGGTCCATGTCCATCCCCACCGCCTTCCAGATCTCCACCATGTAGTTGCCCACCGTCTGGATCTTCTTCAGATCCCCGCCCATCTTGTTGTTCAGCTGGGCAAACCAGTCTGCCACCCTGTGTGAGGGAGGGGAGTGTGGCGGAGTGGTGCATGTCCTCACCACTGCCCGCCACAGCGCATCCCACCTCAACCAGGCATCCATCCCTCCCTGATGGCTTCGGCCCAAGGAGCGAGGGACCAGCATGCCACACCACCCTGCCAGAGTGGCTCTGCTCACCAGAATCTGAAGGTCACACCGCACTTGGTGAGCTTGTTGACATTCAGGGCTTTAAGCACCCCCTGGGCAATGTGCATCCGGCCCGAGGGCTCAAACCCATCGTAAGCAATCGGATTGGGTTTCTTTTCCAACAAACGACGCAAATTCTCGTCCTGGATGCACTCCTCGGCCACAGAACGACACAGCGCAAACTTCTCCTCCAGTGTCAGCCTGTTGGGGGTTGGGCAGGGCGCAGCCGGGCGAGAGTCGATCTCTGTGATGCTAAAGCTGAGCCCGTCGTGATCAAGGCATCCTAGGAGCATGCAGATAAAGAAAATCGACTCACTCTGAAGCCTCCTTCAGGCTCAACTGGCTAATGTCTACAGCGGGAGCAGGTTCAGTGGGTTGGTCCGCCATGGTACCTCAAACAGGGCGCCACGCCTTTCGGTCTCAATATTCAATGGTGGAATCTCAGCACACAATGGATGAATGACTTGCTCGGCCATGCATGCAGCACTCCTGCTCGCGGGTTAGGCTTGGCACTCCGGCGTTTTCGCATCGCGCGCCCCCGCCTTTTGGACCCCCCCGGTCATACTAAGCACGATAAGAACAGCGTCGATCTCGAGAGGCAAGTCTAGAGGAAAGAGTCTACAAATATAACATACAGTTTTCGCATCTCTGTATCAGTCATCTGGGGATGTGAGATCTGCCGGGCATCCGGTGTTCAAAGTCGTTGTGCCCATGGCTGGGCAGGACGAGGGGCTGTCCGGCTTCCCAGCGGTCCGCAGGTGCGCGCTTCCGGTTGATACAGTCATCATCGCAATCATCTTAGAGGGTCGATACCTGTTTCATCCAGCGCTGTTTCAGTACGCCACACCGCGGTCGTCTTCTCACCACCAGGCTGTTCAGGCGTGGAAACTTTCCGGGAACCATCAAGCCCTTCCGCTCCCAGGGCGAGTCGGGCGTGGACTTCACGGGTGTGCATGGGTCACAACCCTCGTCTCGGAGCCAGCCAGCCGAGCCCGGCCAGCAGGTGCGTGCATGGAGTGGGAGGGCCAGGACAGCCTGTATTTTCACGTCTCCCGGCTGGACACAAGAGGGAAGCGGGCGCAGGGCTGTTCCACCCAGCGCCGTCCCCCTGCCCCTTACTGATATCAGGCCAGGAAGGGACCTGCTTCAAGTCCAGACCCCAACCAGCCGGCCGCGATGGTGCCAGATGTCGGTTTGGCAGCCTTGACCCAACCACCTGGCGTGCCTCGAGGAGCAGATGGCGTGCCCGGCGTCAGCGGCGGGGAGGAGGGCGTCGCGGCGCTGCGCAGCATGAGCAACTCCCGCTTGACCAAGTTCGACAGGATCCTAGGCGACGCAGTGGTACGCTTTCTTGTGGGGCAGGGGTGGTCGCTGTAGGGGCAAGGCGGGCCAGTGGACAGGAAGCCCGTGCCCAGCGGAGCAGCCCTGCAGGCTCCAGGGGTGTGGGAATGTGTTAAGATCCTTGAGCCGCCGCTCTTCTATCCCAAATCCCAAGCTCCTTCCCTCGCTCACAGGTCGACGTGGAGGCGCTGCGAGAGCTGGCCTGGAGCGGCATTCCCCCGCGGCTGCGACCCGACTGCTGGCGGCTCCTGCTGGGCTACGCCCCTCCCAACCGTGAGAGGCGGGCCGCCATTCTGGCACGCAAACGCCACGAATACAGGCGGGTGCCGTGTGAAGGGGGGTTGAGGCTGGGAAGGGGGGCCTTCGTACCCGCCACGGCCTGGGGAGGATGGCGCCGCATGCTCTTGCCCAGCAGCCCAGCGGCGAGGTGCACTGGGCCCCTGGAGTGCAAAGACCCCATCGCCGTGTCCAGGAATGGGACCCCACAGACTCAACAGGCCCCTTCAACCCCCCATCGTGCCTTGCAGAGACTTTGTTCCAGACTACTACGACGGCGCTGGCCTGGCGGGCGCCTCTGAGGATGAAGCAGGGGCCCTCAGACAGGTCTGGCAGTGGGAGGGTGGGGCGCTTGTGCAGGCATGGGGTCCCCCCTTCTCGGGCACGAGTCTGTGACATTGACGTCGAGTTCTCCCGCTAAGCTGTCCGTCAACCTCCATCCACTCTGACCAGGTGGCAGTGGATGTTCCGCGCACGGCGCCGGGCGTCCCTTTCTTCTCCCAGCCGGATGTGCAAACCAGCCTGGAGCGGATCCTCTACATCTGGGGCCTGCGGTGGGTGCTGACGACGGAGGGGTCAGGGGCATCGTGCCGCTTGCCAGCCGCTCCCCCAGCTCAAAGACGCGCACACACCTTTCCAAACAAAACCATTTGCTTCGGTGCAGGCATCCGGCCAGCGGGTATGTCCAGGGCATCAATGACCTGGTGACTCCCTTCCTGGCGGTGTTCATGTCGGAGTACTTGGAGGGACCCATGAACGACTGGGCTGTGGGCACCCTGCCCCCCGATCAGGCGCGACACTGTTTGTTTTGGTTGAAAGGGAATAGGAGGGAGGGCCGGGAGCCCACACCCAAGCTCCATTTCCTTGGAGTGTCGCCGGCTGATAGAGGTGTCGCTGGCTGGTGGAGTGTCGCCGGCTGGTGGAGGTTTCGCCGGCTGATGGAGTGTCGCCTGGCCTCTGCCATCACCTTCCCAATTGTCCCACCTTCCTCCCTCCTTCACCACCTCGCAGCTGCTGGCGGTGGAGGCCGACTGCTATTGGTGCCTGTGCAAGCTGCTGGACGGCATCCAGGATCACTACACCCATGCCCAGCCCGGCATTCAGCGCACTGTCTTCCACCTCCGAGAGCTGGTCAGGTGGGTAGCGCGGGAGGGTTGGGCACATGGATCGTGGCGAAGGTGGAGCAGGGCTGCCCCTTGGCCAATAAATTTCCCACCAGACTCTTCCTAGAGGCCCATCATCCTCACGCCAACCCTTCTGTAGGCGCGTGGACGCTAAGACCGCGACACACCTCGACGAGCAGGGCCTGGAGTTTCTCCAGTTTGCATTCCGCTGGGTCAACTGCCTCCTGCTGCGGGAGCTCCCCTTCCAGCTTGGAGTCAGGCTTTGGGACACGTACCTGGCTGAGGGGTGAGGAGCGGGGATGGTCCAAGGGGTGGGGGTGGGGGATGCGTAATGAATAGTCTGGAGACGCATGCCACCGGGGTCAGCTGGACCCTTGCCAGTGCGGCAGTACCCCGGCCCCCAGCCATCAACCCCCATCCCTGCGCCAGGTCCAGCTTGCGGGAATTCCTGGTCTACGCCCTGGCCTCCTTCCTCCTGTCCTGGAGCTCACAACTGCAGCAGCTGGAGTTCCAGGACCTCATCATGTTCCTGCAGGTGGGGGAGGGGTGTGGAAGGGCACCCGTTCCTCCCCACCAAGCCTGCAGCAGCATGGTCAACGTCCCCCATGCAGGCACTGGGCACCCAGTGCAGCCACGCAATGTGCATGCATCACAAAGCGCGCTCACTTCCCTCTCTGCCCTCTTTCCCCCCGAGCAGCGCCCACCCACGGCAGCTTGGACGGAGCAGGACGTGGAGGTCGTGCTTTCCAGAGCCTTCATGTGGCGCAGCTCATTCAAGGGGGCCACGAGCCACTTCTCGTGAAGGTGAACAGGCGTAATGTTGTCTTGTGTCCCAACCTCCCTTGCCGCGATGTATGCTCACGATGGCGTGCATACACGGGGCAAGCACCTACCGGTAGGGTCTTTGTCAGGCTTGCTAGCTCTGCTCGCGCCTCAACCCCTTTACGAGCATGAGATTACAATGCTATTTCATCCAATGGGAAGTGTACAGACAGATGGCGTGAAGGTGGATATTCAAAGCAGTTTAGGCGCGAGGGGCCGGCGGCGCCCAGCTCAGACACGCCCCTCTTCCGTTTCAGTCTTGGGGCAGCCACAGCAGCAGCGGCAAGGGCAGCAGAAGACGACGACCAGGGCATCCCAGCAGCTCCCCAGCAGGTTGCAGGGCAGACAGAAGACGTCGGAGCAGCAGCCCATATTGCCTGATGTTCCTGCGGTGAAGGCAAGGGGATTGCTCCGGTGAGGTCTGTGCCGGATCTCCGCAGGCATGATGCCGCGTCCCACAGTCCGATGGCCACCTTTATGAGTAACGATGTCAAACACACAAGTCCTGGGCCGAGTTGTAACGAGCAGTACCCTGCATGAATCCTAGGATCTGCTAAGCAAGCGGCGAATCGTCCGACACTTCGATACTAGTCTCCATGCATACACTGCTCCCCAACCTCCTTCTGGAACGCACCTTGAGCTCGAGTGCCGCGCAGGAAATGTAAATATGATTGTTGTGATTGTTTGCTTGAGGCATGGCCCAGAGTCGGCATACTTGTACGTTCAGCCAAGTCCGCGTAGTTTGGAGTTGGTCGGCGCAACAGATTCTCGTCAGCTTCA